CCTGACTCCGTTGTCTCTGTAACTGGGTGCCTAACCATACAGGCAGACATTTAAAGGGAAGTGGCAAAAGCAGAGGAGGTGGACTAGCAGTGCCTACCAACAGGTGGCGGCGTCATCCAAGACATGTTGCTGTAGAATATTATCTCTGCTGCCCAGAAATGTAGTTGTTAGCATCATGAGACTGCCATACCACAACAGCCGTCAGTCGAAGGCCTATGCATATTTGTTGCAAGACTGACTGCTATCGTAGATTCTTCCTGGTTGTCCATGGCTTTTTGTATGATATGAGTTACAACAATGTTTAATTTACCTTCTTCATAAATAAATATTTTTTTAATTGAATTAAATTTAATTTCACCAACTGTTGCTGAACTAAACATGCTGGAATGGGTGTTTTTGAACAAATAAATCAAAGCTTATAAAGGTAAACATAAACTTCTTTATATTGTGTGCAGTAACAGAAAATCCAGAATAAATTTTAACTTTACTGCATTCTGTAAATGTTCAGGGAACGAGCTACGTTGTTCAGGTTTTAGTTCCTGGTTGTCAGTGAATCTGATGTTCTTCTGGTTCATTGTTAGACTAGACCTGCTGTGAAGGTTTCTGAAAGTGAAGATGACGCTGAGGGAGAAGAGAAAGATCTCTCCATCCCTGGACAATCCTACATGAAACTACTGGCTCTCACCTCCAACTCTGCTCTGCCAGGTAAAGCCCCTTTATACATAATGCTGTACAGATGAAGCGATCAGTGTAAGTGATGAATAGTGATCAGAAATGTTTTGTAGATTTCAGATTTCTGATTGTTGCAAAGCTGTTGATACTAGGTGATAACTGTAAAATGATCATATTCTGAAAATATCTTCTCCTTCCTGCTTTGAGTGGTTATTAATGTTATGTTAAGAGGTGGGGTTATGTCACACTGTGTGCATGTGTGAGCGAGATTAGTTGCAGTAAAACAAAGATCTTTGTTTGGAGAAGGAATAACATTTCACAAATATTGGATGATTGAAATAGCTACTGAAAAAGTTTTTGTTGGTGTATCAAAAATCGTCTCACAAAAAAACACATTAAGTAAAATATTTCTCTTAACAGTCTTGAAAATCAATTTGTCAGCCAGAGGTCAAGTCAGCCTAGAAATCGGGGATGTTCTAGATGGCTGAGGAGGGGCCACCATGATGGTTCTTGGAGGTTCCATTCTTTGGATTCAGAAGCAAAGTGATAGTGCTGACTAAGCTGGATTGGTCTTTACTGCAGGTGCACAGGGATGAAACAAAAAGCTTACAGAAAGGTTTGGCGGCCAGCAAATACCAATTTTTTCTTCTTTTGTCTGAAAAGTCACTAAATATAGCAACAAAGTCACAAAGTTAGCAACAGTGGAGTGACTGTTGTTAACCGTACATATTCAGACATGACCTGGTGATGTCAGTGAGTCTCTCTCATGGCAGAGCAAAAGAGGACAGCAGAGAAGCTGTTTTTTCAGAGCTTTGCAGGGGAAGATAAGATCAGTTTCTCATGTAAGTATTGATCAATTGCAGATCACCCAAAATTGATCTTCAAAATTAGGGAGATTGGAGGCCGATTTATTGGCCAGCCAGTATATCAGTGTACCCTTAAAAATACAGTCTGCTGTTTGTGTCTCAAAGGTGGTCCAGAACAGAGAAGACATGCACTGAATTATTCTGAACATAAAAAACAAGAATGTGTTCTAAAGAACATTAGTTGACATATATGGTCATCATAAGAGTTTCATAGAGATTTCATTTTGACAATCAGCGTATCAATCATTTTAGTTTTGTCCTAATTCAGTTTCAGTTTCGTTTCTTTATGTAACTTCAATTCATAACAAGCAAATGTAAATTTAATCCAATCATTCAAAGATTCCAAGTCAGCGAATCCTTTCTGAACTGAACCCAGTAATCAAACCATGCAGTGAAGTTCTCATGTCATGATTAAAACCTTTTGCCCACATCTTAGTCGGAGTGTAATATGTCTGCAAATAGGTGGAATTTTTTTAGTCTTTGAAATGCTATGTTAGTGATTACCACAGTTAGCATTACTAAAACAATGGCCTCTGTGTTCATTCCCTGGAGAATGCAGATCTTTCACTTATTTCTGAGATTTCAGAAAAGTCTTTAAACATTTCCTAATTCATTAAGTTCTGTGCTGTGGTGGCACTGACCAGGTCACTGATGCCCAGCAGTAGGTGTCTTCTCAATGCATCTCTAGCAGTTGTCCTCAGCCTAGCTGTCTGGGTCCTATCTTTAGCTGCACAAGTTGACGACGGATGAGAAGCTAGTTTCCTGTGGCTCATCTTAATAGTGTTTCTCTCCTTAGCCTTTGAGACCTTCCTGACATCGCTGGTGAAGCATGAGATGAGCCAGATGCCACGAGGAGTGTATTTCTCTGCTCTGAGAGGGGGTGGCCTGCGTTCAGACCAAGGAAAAACTGTAGCAGGGATCCCAGCGTTCATGCTCAAGACTTATGAGAAAAATAAGCAGCCTGGACTGAAGCCCGGACTAGCAGGTGATTCAAGTCTTCCTTATTGTTGGTGTTGCTTCTTCTGCTAGATGTTAGCTTTGTGGTAAAGTGCAGAAAGCTGAAGGTGTTCAAGGACAGAGAGGCAGCAGTGAGGTGTGCAGCAGGAGTGACAGCTGGATTCATGATGGTGTGTGATTACAATGCATCTGGAAGCACCTGGAGAGGTGGAAGTAGCCCTGGAAAAAAGGAGGAAACAGAAGCTAGACAGATGTACATGTATGAAGGAGGGGGGACTAGTGGATCAGTAATGTGAAGATGAAGATGTACTGAAGTTCAAGTATCAACCATCTAAACCTGGGTGTCAAATAGAGATGGGCAATATGGACTTTTATCATGATATTTTGAGGTACTATTATGATAATGATAAAAAAAAAAATAATGATGAAAAAACTATTTGTTATAGTTTTGTTAGCATTCATAGTGTCACAAACACACAAAAAATTCCCAATTTAAATTGGCTTCTTCAGGACTCCAGATAAAGTGTGATTTATATCACTAATCTGCACACAGTAACTTTAATCATATTTTCAATTTACTGATATTTGTGGAACACTGGAGACAATAGCATAAATAACATTTCCAATAATGTCTTAACACCATTAAGTCGTATTTATCAAGACAATGATAAATCTAAATTCTTATCATAATAAAAAATTTTCATGGTAAATGCCAGTGATAAAACTACCCATTAATAAACTGTTAAAATCTTTATGAATAGCTGGGCCTGTATTCCACGAGTATGTCTTTAAATTATATAATAATAAAAATTAATTCACACTGATGTGATTGGAACTCTTCAAATAAAAGCTGATTTGTTTTGATTAATAAAAAATATTTAAGCACATAACTTTCATTTCGAAGGTTCTGTTTATATGACCTTGTAGATTCTATAGGGTCACTATAATTGATTAATGGACCGGATTTGGCCTGCGGGCCTTCAGTTTGACACGTGGGATCTAAAGCCACAGCCAGTGCAGAAAAGAGAACATATTAGCAAGAGAGTGAGGGAGGATATGCAGAGGGTTGGTGTGGACATCATGTCATTGATGTCTTTTAAAGGTACAATATAGCTCCGTATAGTTGCATGTTTGAATGTCACAAGTCACAATGCAGGTTAGTGCAGTCAGCTTTCTGCTGATGCACATCAGATCCATATTCTGTTGATAAACCAGATTTCTTTGTGAAAAGATAAGTTGCATTCCATATGGCTTCATGTTTTCTGGAGGAGCTGTTTTAAGGACACAGCTTTGGTTTCCACTGATAATAATATAAATTCAACCTTTCAATAGGAAAGAGTGATAATAATTACATATATAGTTGAATGTTGTACTGATCAACATGGTGTTTTGTGCTGTGCTAGGCCTGTTCCAAAAATAAACCTCCCCGCCATTGGCGTTGTGTTTCAGCTGGATTGCTGCTCTGCTACGAGCTCCCTGTGCAGACGGACCGCAGTGGGAAGCCCATCGACCGCTTCCTGGTTACCAGGAGCCGCATCTACCAGCAGACCCTGACCGCCCTCATTCACGAAGTACAAACCCCTCGCCTCCTCTGAACACCCCTGCTGCTTGGTTTGGCTAAAACAGAAACACCACTGCTGGTTCTGTCTGCAGGTGAACATCCAGCTGTCAGAGTGGCACCGTGCTTTGCTGCTGCCCCAGGCCTGGAGGGCATTCATGGGCCGGGCGTTCAGTGCCCTTCTGCAGGTCGGAGCTTTGCTTCCTTTGGCTTTCTTTTTTCTCACTTTATAGACAGACTGGATGTTCTGAAATCATCCAGTCTGTATATAAAGTGAGATACAGTCGTACAGAAGACATGAAGCTGGGTCTGGGTCTGTATGCAGGGCCGCCGCGCTGATCTGGAAATGCAGCAGAAACAAGGCAAAGGGGATCCACAGCAGCTGCAGTATGAACAGCACTGCGCCTGGTTGTGGTGAGAATCACTCACACCTTCATCCACTTCACTATCTGGCATGATGTCACGTTAGGTCATAAACTGGAGTAACTGGGTAACACCAGTTCATGATGGTGTTACCCAGTTTCACCATCTTGCTATACATTTCACTGTATAGCATGATGATGTTACGAGTGATGTTTTCTTTTAGTCTTTGCAGTGAAATGTTTCTATTTTTAACATGTGGACAAATACAGTGCCTCTCCAAAGTAGGGCTGTCCCAAAACAATTTTTTCACTCCTGATACGATATCGTGGCTTTGAGTATTGGCCGCAGGGGTAAAAGGATGAAAAGTGATGACGATTCTAGGGGCCCTGACCAGCAGGGGGCCCTCCACAATTTAATTATTTATATTTTGTTCATAGAGATAAAATAAAAAAAATTGGGGTCCTGTCAAATACAAAATTAATCATATTGTATTTTCAAAGATTGTTTGAAAAAAACAAATAAGATGTTTTTAGTTTATTCTTCCTAAGTTGCTGTGCTAATTCCCGAAAAGCATTATGTTACCAGCGACTTCTTTCACTTCAGGGTGACAGAGTGACACCTCTAGAGTAGTGGCCCCTAACCTTTTTATCACCGCGGACTGGTCAATTTTCTGCGGCCCAGGTTCTTTTTTTTTTTTATTTATTCCCCCCCCCCCCCTCCCACACACCCTCCCGAATTTCCCCT